GGTTTAGTTCGTGAAGTGCGAGACGCATCTTTTGATGGATGTGCCACAATGTGTCTCTTCTAATTACTGGTACATACAAGTTTGAGTCAAAATACTAAATCATCTTTGCCAGCCAAGGTCAGTGTATTAATCTGTCCAGTGCCCATTTAAACCTGTATTATCTGAAAAATTTTGTTTGTAGGACGTGGCGTATGAAGTCATATGTGCCTTATACCAAATGCAACAATTTTGTCAGCAAACATTGCAGAGCATTCATGGGGAGTCAGCATCTTAGGGAGTCTACAAGTCTACCTAATTGCATACAAAAGTGACGTTTTTCTAATGCACAGCAGCCTTATCAAAATTAAATAAGCAAGTCGGAGGGTATAATGGGGGGGGGGGGGGGCGTTTGTGATGTATTTGATGAACAGATACTTATCAAGTAGTCCTGTCCCGTTGAAATACATGCTACATAATATTTCATAGCATCCTAGTTAGTGTTTTAAAGCAGGAATTAAAATGGTATTGCCTGTTACCAACACGCACAACTCACGAATGTCGTAACTGCTGATTTCAATTCATAGCTCATTTTTTGAATCAAGTTTCTAAATTAAAAACTCTTCAAAACATGTTTCATTATCAAGTGTCGCACCCCCCCTCCCATTGAGTCCTTGTATGGACTAATGTTATGTTCATCATTAAAAATTGGTTTATGATCAGTCACTGTGTCCTCTAACAGAACTGATTTTGTCAAATTTCCCTTGTATTTACACTTACTATTTTGTTTATAAAATCTGAATTTCACCAAATTACAAATTCTATAAATTCAGTAAGGCGTTTTAAAAAAAAGTGCCAATAAATAAGCACAACTAGTTGCGTCACAACACTGTCAAATTCTAAAAACTTTTATGACATCCACCTTAATTGAAATGTGAAGTTGGTAATGTTAACAAACTGAGCATTTAAGACTAGTTTTAGTGTATAGCAGATATAGGTATAATGTTAGTCTTATGGGTGAATCGTTAAAAGTGGATTGTGCTTTGTCAAGTCAGGCCTCTCAGTTTGCTTTCCTTGTAATTCATATTGGAACAAGAGCCTCCAAAAAAATTGTTGCGTTCAGTGAATATTTTTTTAAATATAGCAGTCAAACATTCATTTAATTGAATGTATTCAAGCTACCAGCCATGAATATTATTTCCATTTTTACCGTGTGATTGGGAGCACAGAACTGGTGGTGCATAAGGAGCTGGAATTCAATCTACATTTGCCCTGTGCTAGGGACCACAGAACTGAGTGGTGCATCCGGAGCTGGAATTCAATCTACATTTGCCCTGTGCTAGGGAGCACAGAACTGGTGGTGCAT